TCTGCTTCTACATTCAGTCTGTTGCTATACATTGTTTTGTTTGAAGAGTATGAAATAATTCAGCCTCACAGAGATATGCAGTTGGAAAAGGGAGAAGTATTTTAATAGCTTTTTTCCAGATAATTGTGGACTTTATTTTCATACTAAACAAAACTGAACAAGTGGTACTTTCTGAAGAAGAATCTGAGAATCTAAGAGGAATTGAACCTTTTGTTGATTTCAAAGATGATCATCAATACACCAGAAAGTTGACATGTTTTGTACTAATGCTCAGGGCATTTATATTAGACTTGATAAGTTTTTAATTTGGGGAGAATAGGGATGAGGTGATGTCACTAAGCTCATTGAAAAATGGGGAAATGTTCTCATGTGTTTCTGAGATTCATAGGGGCCTTCTGTGTGGAAAATATTTGTTATTTTAAATATATTAATACATAGTGAAGGGGTCTGGTAACTCGTCCATGACTCCTCCTTTACCTGCTAGGAAGTCACTAACTTCTGTGTTTGTAGTTGAAGAGAAGTAAAGCAAGTAGCAGTTGGCAAACAGGATCAGAATACCATCATTTATGGAGAAGAGAATTCTAAGGAAGGAGTAAAGGATGGTATTGGTGTTATCTATTACTTAATAGGGTAGAGAGAAATGCAGAATCCCTGCTATACTTCATAGGACTCAGGTTTTGAGGGAAGATAAATTACTCTTTGTAAAAAGAGATGCCAATTCCAACAGACTATGTTATACATGATAGCTAAAGAGGGGTTTTGACTAACCTTAATCTAGTATCCTAATTTAGATCGGCAACTTCCTCTCATATATGATGTTAGGAGCTCTAGTAATACAGTGATGGTGTTCTTTTTGTCAGTCCCTAGGTATACTGTTAGAGCCATGCAGTGACCATGGTGATAGTGAAGATGGCTGTTTTGAGAGGTAAGCATTTTCTGTTTTTGCTAATTAAGGAATCATTTTGAGAATTGGAGCTCTTCATAGATTGTGGGGTGAAATTTTTAGATGAGTGTTCATTATAAACATACAGTTTAGATAATCTTTTATAAAAACTGACCTTCTTGTTTTTAATGGTAGGCTTAAAGCATATTAAATACCCTCAAATATTCAGAGTTGTATAGGTTCAGATAGACACAACTTGGAAAACATTGAGAGGAAAGAACATTCAGCCTTCTTGGATACACCTAAAACTTCCAGGTGATTCGTACAATGGGATTTATTGATATTCTGGGGATACCTGTCAGTGAGTTAATTCATGGTTTTGGAATTATGGATAACCAACTGAAAGATTATAACACATTTGCGTCAACAAATATGTACGGGATGTTTCTCTTCCCCTTTGAACTCATCCTTGGCGTGTCCTAGTACAGTCTTGAGCAGTTGGTGCTTTTAAAACTTTCAGTAGATAGAGTCCCTTTGAATAGAAGCTTTCTGGAATGTTTTAAATCGCTGAGTAGGGTTTGGATCTTGTTACCCTTTGCATCATCCCTTAAGATGCTGCCAAGAAATATATTACAATTTTCTTAGGAGAGATTTGATATTCTGAAACATAGCAGTAATGAATTTGCAGGCTAGATTGTAAATATTGAGAGATCCCAAACAGCATTACTAATTTGCTGGTAGCCTGTTGGCCATGGTAAACTTGTGTTAATTCCATTATTTCTTTTAATTATGAATAGGAAACCTGTTCTTTAAGGGTAAGTACATTCTTTGGAGCCTTGTCTCTGGAGCATCCCCATACTCTAAAGGTCCACAGATTTCCTGCTTACAGCAGTTCCTTGTGCTTCCTTTCAGGAGGCAGGAATGATCTTCTTCCAGCCCAGGGAGTATTGGAGCTATGGGCTGAAGATAAAAGATTAACAGCATTAACAGGCACCCCCAGAATGATGACATCTGGATTTGGTAGAACAATAAGGATCCATTTAGTGAGGACTCAAATCTTTTTGGAAAAGCTCTTTCCTTTTCAACTTGTGTATAGGTTAGCAAACTTGTTTTTAGATCCAAAGAGTACCTTGGTTAGGTGGATTACATTTTGCATGTTTTATGTTTCTCAAATTGAAGTGATTAGGCCTTTTAATCTGCTAGGGTAGAATTTACTCATCCTGTCATTTGCTCCCACTCTAAGCAAAGGAATGTCTTTGAGCTTGTCAGGGAATTTAGTTCATTTCTCGTGCTCAACAAGAATAAGGTAATTCTTTATATGAGGAGATGACTTGCCATATTTAGATCAAGACCTGTCTTCGGGATGCATACTCTCTTATGGCTGGTAAAAGTGGCATGTGCATGTGTCATTGTAAATTTTCATGATGTCTTTGGGGAAAAGAACTTTACCCCATAGGCATACTGATAACCTACTGTATACTAGCGGGTGCTCTTTTGACTGGTAAAACAGGTACAGATCATTTGTGACAGATTGTTATAACACTTGTTCTAAACAGGGGTTAGTTTTTCTGGGAAATAAAAAGCGAAGTGAAATTTTTAAAAATTTCCCTTTAGTATGTTGCTGTTATGTTTTGAGGAGGGAAAGATTTAGAAGTAGTAACCTTTGATTGCAAGTAATAACTTCGTGATTGGATACAGTCAGATTTAAAGTTAAAGGACATAGCTATAGCTTTTAAAAAATCTTTTTTAAAAGAAAAGGTCTCAGAGTAAGGAGAATAAAGCTATTTATTTCATTAAAACATTTATTTTACAAAATCTTTTCCATTACACATTCATTCTTTTTGATTTCTACTTAGGATGGATTTTAATTTTCTTTTTATAAAGATTTTTGGGGGACTGGTTGGGAGGGGCCGTTGGGAACATTACTTCATTTTTCTAAACTTGAAGTGATTCTGTGGATCTTTTCAGTATTGTGATTTTCAGATATAGGGCTCCAAAGAACAGGCGTACATCCAGTTGTCATTTTCTCCTCTCTTTGTTGTAAACGTTAACTGTGCTGGGGAAGAGAGGAATCTAGGTAAGAAATTTGCACTGATAGTAACCTTTTTATTCTTTAATATTCTAACAACTTGTATTTTTAGGAAAGAATATTTGTTATTTGACAGTGACAAATTGTCACACTTGATTCTGGTAAGAACTATTTTATCTTATTTTTCTTAAAAAGTTGCCTGAGTTTAATCTATAAATTATTATATATGGTCTTTAACTCTTAGGCTGGGTAGATTTAGAGGAAATTTAAATATAAATAGTGTTATCAGATATTTTATAGTTAAGCAGCAACATCATTTGCCACTTTCGGTTACGAGAAAACACTTCCCTAAATTTGGGATCCAAACTATGTCTCCCAATAAGTCATATTATAAAACTTCTTGTTACATTTGAAAATAGTGTGGATGGTGGATGGTGGGAGTGAGACGGTTGCATAGACACAGTAGTGAAGACTACTCATGGATATGTGCTGGTTGTCTTTAAGCTGGGTGTGGAAAGCTTCTGTGGTTGTGAAATTTATTTTTTATTTTAAAATACAGGATTCTAGTAGCAAGATATGTGATTTGAATGCCAACACTGAATCAGAAGTGCCAGGAGATCAAAGTGTTGGTGTTCAAGGGGAAGCAGTGTGTGTCCAAATTCCACATTTAGATCTGAAGACTGTTTCTGATGGTGATAAATGGGAAGGTAATTTTACCCACACACATTATTTCCCTGATAATGTTATTTGTAACTGAAATTATGCTTAGTGATAATAAGACTACTGCCCTTTTCTGGACATCGTTATTAATCTTGATCTTCTGTTTTCCCTTTCATATAAGATGAGTGAGTGAGTGTTTTTACTGAAATACACTAATGAGATTATGGGGCAGTATCATTCATACGAACTAAGAGTTCTTATCTGATCCGTTAGCTTTGAAAATGGATATTAGAACTGATTAAAAAAATAAAATCACCCAAGATAGGCTTTTGTTAATGGTTAAACCAGATGCTGTCTCCAAGTCTTTGAAAGCCAGTGTGTTAAGGCTTAGGGATCTCAGCAGTTTAAACAGGGGTCGTATATCTGCCTTTTCCTTAGCATCATCAGGAGTACTTTTTTACAAAAATTATCTTTGGCTGGGTGAAGTGGCTCATGCCTGAAATCCTAGCATTTTGGTAGGCTGAGGCAGGAGGATCACTTGAGGTCAGCACCAACCCAAGTACTACAGTGAGACCTCATCTCTACAAAAAGAAAAATTAGCCAGGTTTGGTGGCACAAGCCTGTAGTCCCAGCTACTCAGGAGGATAAGGCAGGATCGTCACTTGAGCCGAGGAATTTGAGGTTGCAGTGAGCTGTGATGATGCCACTATACTCTAGCAACAGAGTGAGGCTCTGTCTCCAAAAAAAAATTACAGGAGATTGGGGTAAATAGAAGAAAATAAACAAAAAATAAGTTATCTCCAGGGGCACTTCTAAACAAATATTGTACTTTGTATTAGATTATGAAAGTATGGTGAGGGGACCCTAAAAATTTGCACAAAGGGGAGAAGTTTAAATTTAATAAGCAAGCAACATGGGTATGTGCGTTTCTCAAAACTCAGCAAAAGTACACTTAAGATTTTTGCATTTCATTGTATATAAAGTATTTTTTTGCATCAAGAGAATTAAAAACTAAACAAATACTGAACTTCACTAGATGATTTGCATGCTGGAGTGTCTATGGGAAAATCCACTGATATCTGCAGTTTACTCTGAAATTCATGAAAAAAATAAGATGGTTAATTGGATGGATAAATGTTATGAAGCAAGAATAGTACAATTAAAATGTTAATGATAAAATCTAGGTGATTGGTATATGGATATTCACTGTAAAGTTCTTTCAACTTTGTAAACTTTCAAATACAGTGTTGGAGGAGGTGGGGAAGCAAGCAACAACTTTGGATCCAGGAGGATTGTACACCTTCCTTGGTAAAGAGACAATGAGACAACTCAGGAATCATAAGCAGAATTACATATTCATTCACTTGGATTGTCTCACCTTTGGCAAGTTATCTGATGACATACAGTAGCAGTAACAAGAGGAACTGCAGTGCCGTTGCCATGGACTCCTTTTGGCACCGTTAAGTCTACTCACCTGATCACACTTGGAGTGTGCTGTTTTTTTAAGGTCTAGGCATTTTTTTTTTAGAGCCTCAATCAAGTCATTGCCTATGCCAATCTTTATTGCTGTCTCCTCCTGCCACCCTCCACCCTTTTTAGGTCTAGATGTTTGGCATGTCCAGTGGCATTTTATATGTCTTAACTTAGATTAAATCAGACTAAAGTTGTCTTATATTTGCTTTGTTCTGGGTTATTCAGGACATATATAATTTATGAAGATGCTCCCTAGAGTTAGAACATACGTTGGTGTACTGGTGGCAGTGAATATCAAATGTCCTTTTTAGTTATTTATTGTGGCATAGTCACTGAAGGAGCAGTGGTCAACAGAGCGTCCCTTAGAACCTTAGTAGGAAAGGAGTCTCTGAAAGAAGCAGCTGAGATTCTGATACAGCACTTTTGCTTCTTTCTCTTAGAAGATACAAATAAATAGCCCTTTATGATCTTTGGCCTGGGGGTCCCAATCTTGAGTTATAAATGTAGAAGAACAATTGTTTTTTGTTGTCTGAGGAGATTGGACATTATCTATCTAGCTTCAGCTTTCTGGAGGCTCCCCGAAAGAGAACCTGCTACTGGACTGTCTGTTTTTTCCTCCTGCCAGAATCCAACCCCTACAGCTTGTTATAGGGAAAGGAGTGACCTACAGACTGCTGATCCCTGATTTTCAAAGCCTGTGCTGCCCTGTTATCCACCTGGCTCAACAGCCTCCATGTAGGCTTCCTGCTGGCTTTTCCAGGAATAGGGGTCAGTGACTTTCAGAAAGCCGGCAGTTAGAGACAGCTGAGTGAACTTCCAGCCATGAACTGTGCGCGTGTGTGCTTGGCATAGTGGCTGTTATAGACCGTGTTGTTCGTTCCAACTTTGCCACTGATACGAACATTGATTTTTCCACAATTTGGAGTTAGGATATTCTAAAAAAAAAAAAGTCTTCCTTAGGAGACCAAATTACTTTAGACCCTGAATACCTTGGAATCAGAGATATACTTTGTTTGCTGTGACTCTTTGTAGAGAAGTGGGGATGACTCCAAATAGAGACGCACTTCACTGTTCCTAAGTATGCGGGTTTTTTTGTTTTGCTCCAAGAACAGGAAAATGCAGTGAGCAAGCAGGTAGCTCATGACTGTCACCAGTCACTATCACCAGAATTTGTAGCACCCGTTCAAAAAGTTTTGCCTTCTAATGGAAGTGGACACCATCTTTTTTTCATATTCTCTCCTGCTACCTCCGGAATGAAATACAGTAGGATGTTTTCAAAGAGTAAACTTAAGGGAGATTTTTTCTTTCAAATCAATTATACTGAAAAGCTTCAAACAGTACCTTAAGAGTTTCCATTTCTTCAGTTTTACATTTAAGTTTTAATAAAGTAGCACTACGTTGTGGTTTTTTTTGTTTTTTTTTTTTGTTTTGTTCTTTGCCTTGCTTGCTGAAATGGAAATGTATGTTTGTGTTTTTTAAAGTTTGGTTAGTAGTAATTTCTTTGAATAAAGTTTTTGAGCAGAATGCCTAACTGGTTTTAGGGAAATGTTTTTGGTATCTTTGGCTTTGTGTTATGTGTATGGTTTGTTCTGACTGTGCTGTGTGTTCACTTTAGTATTTTTTGCCATTTTTTCCATTTTATTAGCGTCATGCCCTATCACTTTTCCCCTCATTGATTTCAAAACAATGCATCTGCAGAGAGATGGGGAGGGTAAGTATGGTTCACCATAGTTTAGTTTTTTTGCCTTTTTATGGTTCACTTTGTTTGTCTTTTTATTATTAGCCCTTCTCCTGCTGTCCCCATATCTTAGGAAAACTGTTCTGGGTTAAAAATGATACCCAGAAAAGAATTGTTACTTCTCTCTTTTCTTAAAATAGGAGATTTCTCATAAAATGTTTATTACCAGTTACTTATTTGCTGGGACACAGGTACAAGGGTTGAGTTGAAAATCACTTACTGGGTTTATTGTGGGATTGCACGCTTTGTACCTAGTTTTTAACTATCAGATTGATCTGGGCTTCAGAAACAAACCAAATTATGTTCCAAAAAAAAAGTAATTCTTTAAATATTCCTAATGCATAAAGTTAAACTAAATTCCTAAAGCAGTAATCTTAGCTATTGTGTGAAGAAAACATCACTGTTAAATTTTGACACTGTCAAGCCATCTTTGCATTCATTTTTGCTGTTGTTAATAGCCATAGCATCAGAATTTTAGTTATAAAAAACTAATGTGTAGATGGGAAAGATTTTTCCCCCAATTCTGTACTCCAGTGATGCTTTAAGTTAATTTTGTACTTGGGGTATATCTGTGGATTGTGTCTATGATCTGCATGTCTTCTGTATGTAATAAAACCTTATATGTGCAAAGACATCAAATATATTAACATGATTTCACTTGGGAGTATACAGCATAACACCAATAAAATAAATATGCTTACAGACTAGTGCTATTAAGTTTTGTCTTGATAATAATGTTGGGCATTTAATTATTAAAATATATATTATGCATAGGAATCCTGTAACAGGATAACCACTACAGTTTAATGTTAGAGGCCAGGTCCTGTAAGGTGAGTTAGCTCCTTGTTTGGAAATGTTAGAATTCTTCTAAAGTTAGAGAGCTTTAGTTGGTGAGTGTTCTGTGTAGTATGGGGAAGAGCTTCCACATTTTCTTCGCATAGTACTTAATAGTGAGGGACAATTCATACACCTGGCATCATTTTGCTTTTAAGTTAAATTTCTAACTAAGGACTGTTAAGTGTTTGCTCTTTCTAAATAAAGTTTTCCCTATTTGAAAAAATAACATTTTTTTATGTAACATCTTTAAAAAAGTTAGAATTAAATAATTCTTTAGAATTAAATTACATTTCAAAGAGCTTGACAGTGTCCTTTCTTGCCTTGCCACTGGGTTCAGAAATTTAAGGTCTAACTCCTTATGTGAAAATAGAACTCTGGGCTAAAAAGTGAAGCTTTAATAATTTTAAACTGCAGTAGACTTTATGAAGAGCCTAGTATCTTTTGTTTTAAAAAATTTGAATAATGTATGAACTGCTGCATTATGATATGGTTTAAAAAACATACAGCTGATATTTTGTGACCTTTTTTCTACATGGACTCAAGAGACCCATGGTGCTCTTCTTTGTGTTTGTTTTACAGAGCCATTTCCTGCTTTTAAGTCTTGGCAGGAGGACTCTGAGTCTGGAGAAGCTCAGCTGTCTCCACAAGCTGGAAGAATGAATCATCACCCCTTGGAAGAGGACTGTCCTCCAGTATTATCACACCGCAGTTTAGATTTTGGGCAAAGCCAGCGTTTCCTACATGATCCAGAAAAGTTGGATTCCTCATCTAAAGCACTTTCTTTTGCTCGGTATATGATTTTTATGTACTTATCAGAGGCGATTCCTATTATGTACCCAGGTCCTCTGAGAGGTTTAGTTTTCCAGACCTACAGTTCAAAGCTTTCTCCTTTATTTCATGAAGCACATTTTTGTAATTTTTTTTTTTTTTTGTATAAAATTCTGAGTTTACTGAGGTGTAGCGTTTGAGGTTTGCTCTCAAGTAGACATTTCTTCATGGTATATTCATTCGTTTATTCATTTGTGACTGAAACACAGAACTCTGAAAGGGAAGCAGCAAGTGGTGCCGATTGGTTCCTCATGTTTTTTTTTTATCAAAGCCTTAAATTGCTCTGCATGTCAAAAATTTTCCTATATAATTTGAGCACTTAAAAGAGCTCTGAGCTGCTAGGTATCTTTGTTTCTTTTCTGCCTTGTTTCCAAACACATTTTAAACTATTACAAATTGTTTTCATCACCACTTGTGTTAACTAATATTGTGGTCTGTAACACCATAGTGTTTCTTTTTACTAACCGTCCTTTAGTGTTAGGGACTTAATTTCACTTTTAAAATATACTTATTAGTAATAGTGTTATGTCAGGGCAATAAGAGATATGGTGTTGGTGCTTGAAAATTTAACGAATACACAGTGTTGGCCTTTTGTTTTAATTCAGGATTCGAAGATCATCCTTTAGTTCAAAAGATGAAAAAAGAGAGGACAGAACACCTTATCAGGTGGTCAAGAAACTTCAGAAAAAAATCAGACAATTTGAGGAACAGTTTGAAAGGGAAAGAAATATCAAGGTAAGTTTGTAGCATTGCTCAGAGTGAGCTAGATCTAATATTAGAACCTGAGGAAAGAGTCTTTCAAGAGCACTAGTTTAGCTCTATCTTGAGAGAGATGACAAAGCTGAGATGCCCAGAGACATAGTGATCATGTAGATGTGAGATCATGTAGACCCTTAGCCTCCTGATTACCAAGCCAGTATTCATGCCATTGCACCATGGCATCTTTATATTTCCACTGGGAAAACAGCTTTTAGAATTTTTAAAACAAGTACTTTACATTGATAAATCATGTTATTGCTATTGCTGTTGTCAAAAACCACAAGTACCAAAAGAGGAGGGAAGGCCGGGCGCGGTGGCTCACGCCTGTAATCCTAGCTCTCTGGGAGGCCGAGGCGGGCGGATTGTTTGAGCTCAGGAGTTCAAAACCAGCAAGAGCGAGACCCCGTCTCTACTAAAAAATAAAATAGAAAAATTAGCCAAGCGTGGTGGCACATGCCTGCAGTCCCGGCTACTCGGGAGGCTGAGGAAGAGGACCACTTGAGCCCAGGAGTTTGAGGTTGCTGTGAGCTAGGCTGACGCCACGGCACTCTAGCCCGGGCAACATAGCGAGACTCTGTCTCAAAAAAAAAAAAAAAAAAAAGCGAGGGGGAGAGAGTGAGTGAAGCAGGAAAGGGGGCCTGTTGGGGGGTGGCTTAATAATTAGAACATGAGAAGTGGAAAGAGTCTTATACTTGGAGTCAGAAGACCCATATTTACATCTGGCTTCTGGCAGTTACTAGAGCCTGCTCTGGGAGAGCTTTACTTAATATCCTGTCCCATCTAATCAAAATAAGATAAAGTAAAATGAGGAGTGAGTGAAGTCTATGCTGTTGGAACTGTAAAGTACTATTTGGCCATAAATTAAGATAACCATTACTTACCACAAAAGTATAGTGATTGTGCTCCTTAATTTCTCAGCCTTCTTACAGTGATATTGCAGCCAATCCAAAGGTATTAAAATGGATGACAGAGCTTACCAAACTGCGGAAGCAAATTAAAGGTACATGATGTGCCATTTGTAACATATTTGTTGTTGTGTTTTTTTGTTTTTTTATTTTTTTTTTTGAGACAGTCTCTCTCTGTTGCCCAGACTGGAGTGCAGTGGTGTGATCATAGCTCATTGCAGCCTCAAACTCCTCCTGGCCTCTACTGATCCTCCTCCCTCAGCCTCCACTAGGACTACAGGCATGCACCACCATACCTGGCTAATATTTTTGTGAAGACGAGGTCTTGCTATGTCACGCAATTCAGTCTTAAACTCTTAGCTTCAAGTGATCCTCTTGCCTCAGCCTCCAGAAGTGCTGGGATTATAGGCATGAGCCCCTGCACCCAGCCTATATTTGCATTTTTCACATATTCTTTATAATAATGTCTAGGAATTATAATTACAATTTTTGATAATTTTAAAACTTGAACACTGGCAAAAATAAACATTTCCTTTTGTTCTTTTATTAGGGTCAAAGTTGCATACTAAGAGTTGGGAAATCTAAAAAAAAAAAAGAGATGGGAAATCTATAGTACTATATTCTTTCAAATGTCTTTCTTGTGTTTTTTATTAGTAATATTATGTTGAAAGTTACCCTAGATTTTATATTCATAGTTGAACTGATAAAAGTTTACCTGAAATGTACTTCAAATATTAAGCAGTTTGGTTTTTGTTAGATATTTTATTACGATTTTTGGCTGGATAGTTCATCTAAGAATAAGGATATCTAATCATAGTGAATTGTTTATTCCACAAAGACTAAATTGTAAGTCTTCTTGAATCATAAACTAGGTTTTATGTTTCTGGGTGTCAGCCCAATATGGTAGTTGCTAAGGTATATTTACTTGGTGTTTAGTGAGTATGCTTTTTAATAATTATTAATACTTAAAAAATTATCTGCGCTAAGTATGGGTTTGTTATCTGGAGCATCACTTTGGTTTGTTCATTTGAATTTATACAATAAAATATTTAATACCTCTATAAGTACCAAGTACTTTGTAGACAAATGGGGATTATGGCAGTGAACAAAACAGACTACCTGCTGTCACGGAGTTTACATTCTTGTGGTTAAGATCATTGCTCTTAACTCTTCTTGAGAATATCACTTTATTTTCCCCTTTAATTCTGTTAAACATTTCCGTATTTACTGCCAGTTTCCAGTCATCAGTGAAAATCATTACCATTATTATATTACTAGTTGATAAATTGACTAGCGTTAGCCTCCTAATTGCCCAATTTCTTTCACTCCTACTGTCATACTGTCCGTATGTTGCATAGCATCCAGAATTATCTTTTAAAAAATCATGTTACCCTCTTGTTCAGGCCCTTCAACGACCTTCCATTTAGAATAAAGTCCAAACTCCTTACCTTTTCAAGGCCTTGCACACTCTGTCCTTAGCCAGTTTTATCACTTTCATATCTCATTTTCTGTTCCTCAAATATGCCAAGCTTTAGGGCCTTTGCACTGGCTATTGCCTCAATTTGGGACAAATGCTCTTCCCCTAAATCTTCTAATGCTGGACCTGCTCCCTATTCCATATTCAACATGGTGACACCATTCAGAAATGCCTTCTCATCCGATGTAGTTCCTCCTCCACAAAGCACTCCTTGTAGCTCTGTGACTCCATCTTGTTTTATCTTCTTTGTAGCACTTAGCACTCTGAAATTATTTTGTTTATTAATCTCATCACTTGGTTATTGTTTTTCTTTCCCTGAATATATGCTCCATGAGAACAGAGACCATGTCTCTTTTGTTTACTACTGTATCTCCCATGCTCATCAGAGAGTCTTATTTTATAGTAGTCTTTCTATGAATATTGGTTTAAAGAATGAATAGAATAGCTCTCTTGCTATATAATTTAAGTATTTTATATGACTTTGAAATATCTGAGTCTGTGTGCTATTAATGTATACTTTCTTATTGCATATCTTGTTTATTTGACTCAGTCACATTTTAGCTAAAATCAATTATTATTGATCTGTCCTCTTATTTCTGAAATGTAGATGCAAAACACAAAAATTCTGATGGAGAATTTGTACCTCAGACACGTCCACGTAGTAATACTCTTCCAAAAAGCTTTGGCTCTTCTCTAGACCATGAAGATGAAGAGAATGAAGATGAATCCAGGGTCATTCAGAAGGAGAAAAAACCATCTAAGGAAGCAACCCTTGAACTTATTCTGAAAAGACTGAAAGAAAAACGTGTTGAGAGATGTCTTCCAGAAGATATCAAGGTAATCTCGAGCTATGATTTTTGCCCAGACTAGCCTTTAGAATTCCTGAAACAAAGTAATTACCACAGCAGGATTGAGAAGTCCAGGTAATCAAACTGCCTGAGTCTGCTCCCCAAGTTTGCAGATTCAGAAACATGCTTTTATCAGCATACCATAAATGCCAAGCCTTTCAGGGATTGAGTCACAATAACAAAACTAAAAAAACTAGAGTGTTGATCAGATCATTTATGTTGGAGATAGTTGGCTAAGTGAGTGTTTAAAGAGCATCAAACAGACCTGAGTTTGAATCCTGGCCTTAATAGCTGTATGTGTTGAGCTCTTAGCTCATGCGAGGCATGGACTGGTTATATCATATGCATTCTGCCACTCAGTCCCTTCAGCAATTGTATGATGTATATGGATGTGATTATGTCTTTTAAAAAAATACTAACTTGATATGGTGGTTATAAGGATTAAATGAATTAATTTTTTCTGAAGAAACATTACTCTTACTCAGTAAAGCCTGTGCCTAGGGTAGTCCTGGTCAAAGCACTTGGCAACTCAAATCCTGTATCAGATGAGATTTGCTGGGAGAGTGGTGGTAGATGGTCTCAGGTGAATTTTGTCCCAGTAATGGTGAGTCCTAATGCACACTCTTACCTTGGCAAATATTAGTCTTTCTTTCCCTTTAATAGAGTTGAATTAGTCATTCTCATCCCTCCCCTCCCCTAACTTTGCTTTTAAGTTTCTTGTTAAAACAACTCCTCCCTGCCCTCACCCCAACTATTTGATTGGATTCGCTTAATTTGAATTCCTTGTCCTGGGTTTAAGGTTCAAGCTTGAGGTTGAAACCATAGTGGTTTACAGACCTACACTCAGCTATCCTCTACTGAATGTATATAATCTAAAATGATATTTGTTATAGGAAGATAATATCCAGTGAATTTGTTAGTCTCTAATTTCACTCTGGTCAGAGACAGGGAAGTATTAACTAGTCCTGGGAATAAGTAGAGTTTATTTGATCTAGTGTTGAAGGATGTTCTATGGAACGTTGAGATGCTAATAGGTGATCCTGTGGAACAAAGGGGAAGGTAATATGGACAAATAAATTTGGGAAATTCTGCCTATTCTACCATTCAGAATACTAAGAGACGTGAGGGGAGTACTGCAATGTAAAGAATGTGCCAATCCAGGGGAAAGGAACTGAGGTAATAGAGTAGAAGTCTAAGGTTACAAATTGACATTATTGAGTTTTTTTGGGATCTTTCCACTATTCTGCTGCCAGATTGTTTGTTTTGGAGACACAGTCTTGCTCTGTCGCCTGGGCTAGAATGCGGTTATCATAGCTCACTGCATCCTCAAACTCCTGGACTCAAGTGACCCTTCAGCTTCAGCCTCCCGAGTATCCTGAGTAGCTAGGACTATAAACACACACCACCACGCCCAGCTAATTTTTAAAAAAATTTTTTGTTGAAGATCCTTTTGTAGTTCATAAGCATGATAATTGGGTTTTTATGAGCATACATGAGATGTGCCCCCCTCAAACCTTGTTACGATGTTGGCACATTAGCCCTCTGACAAGAAAAAAAAAATTTCTTTTTTTGGTAGAGACAGGTCTTCACTGTGTTGCCCAGGCTGGTCTCAAACGCCTGACCTCAAGTGATGCCTCCTGCCTCAGCCTTCCAATGTGTTGGTATTGTAGGCATGAACCACTGTGCCTGGCCCAGATTTTCTTAATAATTTAGGAGAAATGCTGGATTCTAAAACCTGTGCATATATGTATGGGGTGTGTGCCCACTAGTCTTAATGCTAATAAAATGTGCAACATTAAATGAAATAACAGGTAATTATATATGTCTACTGTGTGCTGGGTAGACACTGTTGTAAATGCCTTACATATAGTCACTCATTTAGTCCTCATTAGAGCCCTTTGAGGTAGGATGAAGTATTCCCACTTAACAGATTAGGATACTGGACAAAAAGAAGTTAAGTAATTTACCCAAGCCAGTATTTATAATTTATTCAGATAAAATATAAATCAAGCCATCATGGGGGGTTGTTACCTACTTATTAGAAGACCAGATTCTATAAGAGACTGAAAAATTCTGCTTGCAAATCAATAAGCAGAGGATGCATTAGCCTGGGCTAGACTGGTGATGGTCTGCCCTTTCAGCCTAATTATTTACATTGTGGGAGTGAGGAGAATAATGATGGTGCCAATGGATTTGGGTTTTTTTGTTTTGTTTTGTTTTTTGGTATTTTTTTTTTTAATTTCAGAAAATGACCAAAGATCATTTGGTAGAAGAGAAAACTTCTCTGCAGAAAAGTCTTCTTTACTATGAAAGTCAACATGGAAGGCCGGTAATGTCTCTCTTGCTAAAAAGATTCGATTTTCTGTCTTAAAAAAGAACATGAATCACTTTTGTGGCCTGCGTTCTTCAGAGCTGTTTTATAAAGCATTGTTTCTTATAATTGGGGGATTGCCTGCTTATTTAATAGAAAATTTTACATTGGGGGTGAAAGTCATTGTTTAATGTTTTATACCTTTTAGATTTCTTATGACTAGGCAATTTCCTTTTTGTTTGCTTCAGGTGACCAGGGAAGAAAGGCACATTGTTAAACCTCTCTATGATAGATACAGGCTTGTAAAGCAGATGCTGACAAGAGCTAGTATCACTCCTGTCCTTGTAAGTAAAATAAGCAAATATTTCTCTAGTTCATTTTACCAGGATGTTCTCTTCATATTGAAAAATTATTATGGTGGTATATCAGAGAAATACATAGCCAAGGTAAGTAAGTTAATCTTTATTGATGGGGAAGAGTCCATTAAAATAGTGCTTTATTCATCTTTGTTTATATTTTTAAAGAAAATTGAAAACTCTAATATTTAAGTACAGATTAAATGCTATCCCCAAACATTAACCATTAGATTCTAGATAAATTTGTCTTATTAGCCCATTCTGCATTATTACCTAGGAATTAATTCAGTGGAGCATATGGTTTGCTGTGGCTTTCAGGCTATTTTATGTAGGTAGCCACTTGCATGGGGGCTTCCTTTAGGCATTGACTGCCTAATTACTCATTGTTAGAAAGTTCACATTGGCCTTCTCAGTGCTTTTTATTTAGCCCTCATATAAAGTGATTCTTTTTTAATTGACTTTTTTTAAGTTTGCCTTCTCAACACTATTTTATTTAGATATTAAGATAATCAATTTTCCTTTAACAAGGAATTTTGTATATTACAAATTCTTCTATAAGACAGTTCATTTTATACAGATTTTATCCTTTATTTGCAAGTTATTTTGTGTGTCACTCACATTTCATAATTCTATAATAGTATAAATAGGTTTCAAAGTTCTTTATGGAAAACCATTTTAGAACTCTAGGCTTGTCTTTTAAAACTGAGCCTGTAGGAAGCATTTCTGTATCTTATGGACTATTAAATATGACTGTCTATTATAAAGAGAAATTTGGAGTCTAAAAGTTAAGTCAAAGAAATTTGAGAGGAAAGAATAGTTTTTTCAACAAATGGTGCTGGGACAACTGGATATCTATGTGCAAAAGAATGAAGTTGGGTCTTTATCTTATACCATATATAAAAAGCAACTCAAAATGGGTCATAGACCTAAATGTAAGAGCTAGAACTATAAAAACTCCTAGAAAACATAGGAGTAAATCATGATTTTGGGTTAGATGATTTTTTTTTTTTTAAGATATGACACCCAAAACAAAAAAAGCAACAGAAAAACCTAAGTTGGACATTATAAAAATTAAAAACTTCTGTGCATCAAAGGATACTATTAAAAGAAAATGAAATGAAAACAACCTACAGAATGGGAGAAAATGTTTGCAAATCATATATATATGCCCTGATATGGGTCTTGTATCCAAAAAATAGAATTCTTACAACTCAAAAATAAAAAGACAAATAACCCAGTTAAAAGTGAGCAAAGAATTTGAATAGACATTTCTCCAGAGAAGATATATAAATGGCTAACAAGGACGTGAAAAGATGTTGGACAGCATTGGTCATTAGGAAAATGCAAATAAAAACCACATTGAGATAACCATTTCATACCACTAGTATGGCTGTAATCAAAAAGATAAGAGTGTTGGTGGGGATTTGGAGAAATTAGAACTTTCATGCACTGCTGGTAGGAATGTAAAATGGTGCAGCTACTATTTGGCAGTTCCTCAAAAGTTTAAACAGAGTTACTCTGTGACTCTTCATTTCCCCTCCTAGGTAAATACCCAAGAGAATTGGGAATGTATGTCCATGCAAAAATTTGTACATAAATGTTCATAATAGCTGAAAAGTAGAAGCAATCCCAATGTCTGTCAACTAATGGATAAATAAAATTGGTATGTCCATACACTGAAACATTATTCAGCCATAAAAAGGAATGAAATACTGGTATATGCTACAGCATGGGTGAACTTGAAAGCATGCTAAATGAAAGAAGCCAGACAAAAAAGGCCACATAATTATATGATCTCATTTATATGAAATATTTATAATAGGCAAGCCCATAGAGACAGAATGTTATATTACTGTTTCCTAAGAGCTAGGGAGAGAGTGCAAGTAAGAGACAGCTAATGGGCCAGGATTTCTTTTGAGGTGATGAAATGTTCTGAAATTAGTGGTGATGGTTGCACAACCATATGAATATACTAAAAACCATTGAATTGTACATTTTAAAAGGGTGAATTTTATGGTATGTAATTATATCTTAATAAAGCTGGTTGTTGTTGCTGTTGTTTGAGACAGAGTCTCACTCTGTCACCCTGGGTAGACTGCAGTGGCATCATTATACCTCACAGCAACCTCAAACTCCTGGGCTCAAGTGATCCTCCTGCTTCAGCCTCCCAAGTAGCTGGGACTATAGGCGCATGCCACGATGCTCAGCTAATTTTTCTATTTTTTCAGTAGAGATGGGGTCTCCCTCTTGCTCAGGCTGGTCTCGAACTCCTGAGCTCAAGTGATCCTCCTGCCCTGGTCTCTCAGAGTGCTGGGATTATAGGCGTGAACCGCTGGGCCTCGCCTAAAGATGTTATTTTTTTAAAAAAAGAATTGTCTTTAGATCAAAAAAGTTGACAACTATTTTTTAAAAGAAAAATGCTTCCAAATTAAAGTCTATGTTCTTATTTAGGAATTTTGAAAACATTTGTTGAATTCTCTCTTATACTTTTCTAGACATTATCATTTATCACCCTTGTGTATAAGTAAAAAGAAAAATACAAGCAAAAATAAATTTATTAATCCCCCCAAAATATTTAAAGCAAATGCTTAAGATTTTGAAAATAAAGTTTAACGTTTGTAATATAATGAAGTGAAGCTTCACTGGACACTTTAAATACTTACAGTGTAAAACTGTTTATATAATTGATTGTTATAGGGATCTCCATCCACCAAGCGAAGGGGTCAGATGTTACAGCCAATCATAGAAGGAGAAACTGCACATTTTTTTGAAGAAATCAAGGTAATTCTTTAAAGAAATCATTCTCTGATCTCTTTCCTAAAGGAAAAGTTGAAAGTCAAGGCATGTTTGATTCTGTTTGGATGTCTTTTTAGGAAGAAGAAGAAGATGGTATTAGTCTGTCCTCTGAGTTAAGTGATATCTTGAGAACTGCTGTACAGGTGGAGTCTTCATTGGAAAACTCAGAATCTGATGTTGAAGAAAATCAAGAAAAACTGGCTCTGGATCTCCGATTGTCAAGTGCTAGAGCAGCTTCTATGTATGTGTGCTGGTTTGTGATTTTAGCCTATTTGTATGATAAAATGTGTATGCCAAGGAATTTGACATTAAATAATTGCACTTGAAGGGAATTAATACAAGAGATTAATCAAGGGATATACACCCTTCTTAAGTGTGATTTACAGATATGTTATCTACCTACTTTCTTGATTAAACATTGGTGTGTTTCAAAACAAACTTACATTTGATTTATAACAAAGTACAGGAATCAGTTGAGAGTTTGTTAAGTTTGTTCTATATCAGCTGCTGCTGCTTTTTTTTTTTTTTTTTTGAGACAGAGTCTCACTCAGCTGCCCAGGCTAGAGTGCCGTGGCGTCAGCCTAGCTCACAGCAACCTCAAACTCATGGGCTCAAGCGATCCTCCTGCCTCAGCCTCCCAAGTAGCTGGGACTACAGGCATGCGCCACCATGCCTGGCTAATTTTTTCTATATATTTTTAGTTGTCCAGATAATTTCTTTCTATTTTTTTTTTTTAGTAGAGAACGGGGGTCGAACTCCTGAGCTCAAACAATCCGCCCGCCTCGGCCTCCCAGAGTGCTAGGATTACAGGCGTGAGCCACCGCGCCTGGCCTGTATCAGCTTCTTTACCTTTGGATTCTGTGGTGTATGACAGTTGTTCTTAAACCTGACTTCACTTTATGATCACCTGGGAAGATTGTTTTTTAAAAAGTACTAGTGCTGAGCCCTACCTTCAGCTATTCTGATTTAATTGGTTTGGGGTGGTGCTTACGCATTGGTAGGTGCTAAATGTTCCCAGCTGATTTTAATTTGCAACCAGGGCTAGAACTACTGTTAAGAATATAATCAACCTTGGCCTTTCAATAATGTTTTTCTTCCATTTCAATTTTAGGCCTGAGTTACTGGAACAACTATGGAAAGCCAGAGCTGAAAAAAAGAAACTACGTAAAACATTACGGGAATTTGAAGAAACATTTTATCAACAAAATGGAAGGTTTGTTGAGCAGCACAAAATTAAGTCATCTTTCTCCTTTAACTTCTAAGTGCCCATATGTTAAAATAGTGGAATATATGAGATTAGAAAGAAATTGTGCATATAGGATGTTAGCATTGGAAATACAATTTAAAAATATTCCCTTATGCTCTGAAGCCCTGCTATTAATGGCAGGGAAAAGACAACAACATCTAATAAACTATTTTAAGGTTGTCCTAGGGAGCTTGGTTGTGTTGCAGTGATTTTATATTCTTTAATTCTATATCCTTACCCTTTTGGAAGTGGTTGCAAAGTAAGATATTTCTCATTTTAGAAGGGATCCCATAAGAGTGATATCCTCAACTAGTTTGGATTTTAAATTTTTATACTGAGACCATTGTGCTTAGGCTGCATGTTGAGTCATTCCAGGTTGCCTGTTTCCAAGGTGTGTAACAGTGTGGCAGCCATGTGGCTCCTATAATACAATATGGCATGTGTGCTTATCTAACCAGGTAATGCACAGTTGACCCTGAGGAGTCTTTTAAAACTAAGAAAAATATATTCTAATTCAGATGGTGGCCAGAAATGAGAGTTAAATTATCTCAGACCACGAAAATGTTTTTCTAAGTAACTGGGTAGTCTTACCAAGCTGATAGCTAATATTACAAATTCTAAAATGCATTTACTCTAAATTAATTCTCTCTGCTTTGTGAGTCTCCTGTATAGGCTGGCATATATGGTTAAGAAAATTTGAAGTTCAGGAATGCATTTTCCCAAGTGCCTTCTATTTCTTTGTATTATTGGAAGAAAATTTTGCTTATAATTATACTTAGGATGGTTTGATGCTTTTTAGCTAGTGATTACACTGAATTGCATTGGGTCGTTAATATAAAGGTAGGTTAGTAAACTACTCTTTTGTTGCAGGTAAGATGGCTTACTTTTACATCTTAATTCACTGATAGGTGCTAAATTCACTGGTAGGAGCCACAGTTAACTATTAATAGATGTATGAAATGACTCACTGTAGCCTTCCAGCACTTAATAGATACTTACAGACCTGGCAGAGTGTAGCAATGGATGTCTTATTAAGATATTGTATTACCTCTAGTTATCTAGACTGATCATTGATAAGAAGTATAGCATCATTTAATCAGTGGAGAAATTCATCAAAAATAAGAGCCTTTTAGTAATGTTTCTTCGGGGAGTGGGAGGGATGATTAGGGAGTAAGTCCAATAACCTTTTTGCTTATAGAGCAACTTTTTATTTGAACTTGTATGTAGTAACATTATGTCTCATGTTAGGATAAATTCTGGGTCTTTATTATTTTCTGAATGATATCTAGAACATTACAGATTTTATTTTCTTCCCTAGGAATGCCCAGAAGGAGGATCGTGTTCCAGTACTTGAGGAGTACAGGGAGTATAAGAAAATTAAAGCAAAGCTTAGGCTTCTTGAAGTTCTTATAAGCAAACAAGATTCTTCAAAATCCATATAAAGTATGCTCCTTGAGAATTCATATCATAAAGTCAGTTGTATTCCTTGAAGCTATCGTCATGTGTACTTGGCTGGTACTTGAGTTCATTTTGTCAGGCACTCAGAGAATCTCATTTTGTACTTGGTTGTGATGCCACTAAACAATGATGGGAGGGTAAGCAGACCCTCTCTAGGGAGTGTAAGTGATGTTGCATATTAACAACAGACTGTCCTCTCCACTTTTAGCAAACATACAGTTTCCTTCATTGTTTTGTACTACAAATACATCCTTTTAGCAAAAGACTAGGATTTTATCCTTTCAACTTCAAGAACTTTGGAAATACGAGTTTTTTGTTATTACCAACGTTTTGTTTTTCATTACTGAAGAAAATTGAGAGGAAAATCTTCACACTGAATTCTTCGGTTGCCTTTTTCTTACAGAATGACTGAAAATTTGAAAGAAAAGCCTATGAAAGTGCACATATGGAACTGTATGTTCTGTGTTTTCTTAGAAAACCAAAATCAAACTGAAATTTCAAGTCCTACTTTGGAACACCTTTCTGTTTAATTCCCAAAGTGACACCTTACAGGTAATATGTTAGCAAAATGTTGCGATTCGGTGGTCACACAGCTCCTGGATAAAGATAACAGTGGGTAGACCAAAAAGTGACCTTGCTTAGTATATTGAAAACACATACCACACATCATACACAGAACTGAATCATATTACATGCTGCCTATGGGACTTAAGTTACTGTTTGTTTCCTAAGTTACTGTTTATCAGCTGGTGATGATGCGATTTGTTTGGAGCAGATCCTGAGCAGTTCCCCACCAGCCCTTCCAAATAGTGTGAGAAAATAGCCATGTCAGTGTGTCGGAATTCTGATGGTGCTCGGATTTGTGTGTTCAATCAGATGGGCGTAAATTGCAAGTAAATCTGTTCTCAACAAGGGCTATACCACTGCATTTTTACATGTACTTTTAGGAGGTCGCATCTTTTCCCCCTCTTTTAATCAGCAGAATCTATACAAAAAACACCCTCTGAAGGGACCACCTTTTTGCTCAATCATATGCCATTTAAAGCAGCTGTTTACAGGGTGTGTAGTGGTATACCCCTTGTCATATACCCTTAGCATCTCTTTTTTCCTTTGGGTTTGCATGGCTTTTCTTCAGGTACTCTCCTGGTATCATTCCTCTAATTATTTTTACAGAATGGTGACTTCATTTGTGCTAACAGTACAATAGCAGATTTGGGTCAGACTTAATCTAAGTGTTAAATTTTTTTTCCCTGGTGCTTTTTTGGATTGATGACTGTCTCACTTTGTGCCCATGTTTTGCATGCAGTGACTCACGCATGGTTTTTCTTAACTAGCTAATATTAACAATTTTTTCCATATAAAAATGGAATTTTGCAACGTCCTTTAATAAGGTGAGGGAAGCATGAACCTCAGACTTCTGGCACTATTACATAGTAAGCACATGAAGTAGCGTGGTAATAAATAGTGATTCTAGTACTTCACATTTCACCTGTGTGTGCAATGCCTTTTTTGCGGGGAGGGAGAATGTAGTAGTGAATGTATAGTTGGGGAATAAAAAGCACTAAATCCAGCCCTTTTTGTGTGGTTTCCTTTTGATACAACTAGGTTATTCATAATGTATACCTAGAAAAGTGAAATCAAAAACACCATAAGACGAATCACTTTGATTTGAATCCATCATGCAGTGTACATTTCAGTTAGTATCTTTTAGTCTCCAGACAGGAGTGTATCCAAACATCTAATATTACGTGCACTGTATATTTTATATGAATGTTTTATTTTATATACCACATGAAAAAAATGTCCATATGTACTATTTAAATGTTTTAAATAATATATTCCTTCTTTATAATGCTAAATCTATATGAGGACCATATTTTTATAAGTCAGTGGCCTGATTGGTTTCATTTTAGAATTAACAGCTGCTTCATGATGTTATTCAGTGTTAATGTTTGACTACAAGTAGAATAGATAGTAGTGGCATGGCAGCACTTACGTGACAGTTTTGTGTGTCATAGTTGAGTCATAGGTGGTAAAATTAGGCAGTTTGTGATAGTTTTACTTTGGTACAAATAAAAACTGTGTATCTATATACAAAGAATATATAGATATAGATATATATGTGTCCGCCAGTATAATTGCATTGCTGTGTCTGACACTTCATTGTACAGACTTTCGTAATAAAAGAACTTGAATGTTCTAAGTCATTGTAAATGTATGTTTGTTTTTCCAGTAGGTGTTAAAAAGAGAAAATACGGACTTCCAAGTATTCCCTTACCTTAATGTTTTTAGGCTTTGTTTGAATTTTACCCCACCCAGGAACCATGTTAGGGCACAACAGAGTCCTTCAACTATCTGGCTGGCTACAGCTCTGGGGAGTGGTAAGACAGGGAAAGGCCATGTTGTTGATTCCCTTGTGGATATCCCGGGAGAAGCTGCAGGGAGAATAGTTAGCATTTCTTGTTGCAGTGAATTATCCTATTAAGAAAAATTGATGTACAGTCTCTTAAGAGAATAGGTTGGCCTGAGGAAGGTGGGTAGTAATTTTAAAAATATTTTTATTCAAGTTTTAAAATCCAGGGACTTTTGAGCACCAATGTGGAAGTTGTGTGCCAACGTCAAGTGATGGTGCTTGGGCTAAGAGGACATGTGGCTATTCTACGGGGTCTTACGTAGCCTATAAAAATTAGAAGAGTTTCCCTCCAATTTCCAAAATGCCAGCCATACAAAACTTTCCAACCATCCAAACAGGGCTCCTACACTTCCCAGACATAACTTCTTATGATGCTGATACACCTAGCCTGCTCTTTATTTTATTCTTGGGAGATAACTTCAAACTGCCTAGGTGAATTTCAAGTTTGAAAATATTAGTAAAATTTCTGTAGATGGTTCGGGAGTTGGTTCCACACTGTGGTTTTTCCAGGAAACTTCAAATTCTGAAGAACGGAGGGAGACTATTTTACTTGGGTTTTATATAATGATCTAAACCTTTATTAATTTGTCTATGGCCAAAGGAAGTCAGAACATGGTATGTGATGCACTTGAAATTACTAACTCTTCTTATACTCTGTAACTGTAAGAAAACTGTCTTTCTCTACCTACTTATTGAACTATTAATTAGAGACCTGCCTCGTGAACCATAAGCATTATTTTGTACTTTCCTTCACATTCCTAGAATCTAATAAATCTCATTATAAAATCCTTTGTGTGGATAGCAGTGTATATGTATTTTGGAGGAATGTTGTACTATGCATGGATTGTATGGTGGGTCCCAGATAGGGGCACTTAATTCCTGGAAATTGTTTGATTATTGTAATTGATCTGAGGATAGTTTGGTGATAGGTGGTTTAGGGCTTTTAAAGTGTGCCTGAAATGTATACAAGTTTAGGAAATAATGCATGAGTAAGTCTTTGTTAGAAATGCTCAATGATTACACAACAGATTCTCACCTCCACTTGTCTCAATGTCCTAGAGCTGAGAGCTTTCTCGTTACTCGATTTAGTTTTGAATTGATGTAATGTAATTCTTTCTCCAGCTCCACAGCATATAAAAAGAGTCTAGAAGATAATTTAGAAGTAGAGAATGAGTCAGTAATACTCTTTCATGTATTAAGAGACAGCTTCGAGTGGAAAGATAGTATTGTAAGCTCCTAAAACATGCCTTATTTGGCCAGTTATAGAGCTAATAATTCTAAAGCTGTATGGAGAACAGTATCTGCTATGCGTATGAAATATAAATGGCAGTTCCTATTTAGAGGTGTAGGGATAAAAGAAATTGGTCTCTCATCTTTTAGGCATATGGAGTTAATATAGTTTAATTTTAAAATTGGGTGGAAAATTTTTAAAAATGGCATCTCAACAGAATAAGGTTGTGGGTTCAGGAAAATAATGTGTGTAACTCATATCCTCAATCCCCCTATCATGATATCCCATAGTACCCTGGTTAGGACAAATGCTTACTCTCCAAATTCTTGTTGAGTGACAGGCTGGTAGTCATCTTGAATTTCTGTGGAATAATACTTATTCTCAAGCCTCTCTTTCCATTTTTTCATCTTCTCTGCCCTTTGAATCTCCTGTCAAGTTAGAGGACAAGTATAGGCTGCAGTCTGACCAGAAGAGGACACATTTATCAGGCAAACACAGTGTATGAAATATAGGCCTTCCTGTGCAGATCTCTATTTCATGTCTTTGGCACACAAGCATCACAGGGTTGAGGATCTTACACTAGTCTCCTCTACTCTCTAGGCCTCAGATTTTGAGCCCCACTGGCCTTTTCCCTGCCTGGGTTTTAGGTCTGTGCATCAGCAAAGTCACTGCAGAGCACTCGGCTGATAGAAGAGCTATTTATACCAGTACCATGCTGTTTTGGTCACTGTACCTTGTAATGTATTTTGAAGTCAGGAAGTGCAATGCCTTCAGCTTTGTTCATTTTGTTCAGGATTGCTTTGGCTATTTGGGCTCTTTTTTGGTTCCATAAGAATTTTAGGATTGTTTTTTCTATTTCTGTGAAAAATGACATTGGTATTTTGATAGGGATTTCATTGAATCTGTAGATTGCTTCAGGCAGTATGCTCATTTTAATGATACTAAATTCTTCAGATTCATGAGCATGGGATGTCTTTTTTTTTTTTAATGAGACAGAGTCTCACTTTGTTGCCTGGGCTAGAGTGCCGTGGTGTCATCTTAGCTCACAGCAACCTCAAACTCCTGGGCTCAAGCGATCCTCCTGCCTCAGCCTCCTGAGTAGCTGGGACTACAGGCATGCGCCACCATGCCCGGCTAGTTTTTTCTATATACTTCTAGTTGTCCAATTAATTTCTTTCTATTTTTAGTAGAGAGGGGGTCTCGCTCTTGCTCAGGCTGGTTTCGAACTCCTGAGCTCAAACAATCCGCCTGCCTTGGCCTCCCAGAGAGCTAGGATTACAGGCGTGAGCCACTGCGCCCGGCCAAGCATGGGATGTCTTGATTTGTTTACATCTTCAATTTTTTTATCGGTGTTTTATAGTTTTCATTTTCCTTGTAGAAATCTTTCACTTTCTTGATTAAATTTATTCCTGGGTATTTTATGTTGTTTGTAGCTATTGTAAATGGGATTGCCTTTTTTATTTCTTTCTCAGCTAGTTCATTATTGGTACATAGAAATGCTACTGATCTTTGAATGTTGATTTTTCTTATCCTGCAACGTTACTGAATTTATCAAACCTAGGAATTTTTTGGTTGAGTCTTTAGGTTCTCTAGATATAAGATCATATCATCAGCAAAGAGGGACAATTTGTCTTTCTCTTTTCCAATTTGGATGCCCTTTATTATATTTCTTTCTGTTGCCTGATTATTCTAGCTAGAACTCCTAATACTATGTGAATAGGAGTGATGAAAATGACATCCTTGTCTTGTTCCAGATCTTAGAGGAAAGGCTTTCAGCTTTTCCCCATTCAGTATGATGTTAGCTGTGGACCTCAACACTTTTGAAGAACACGCCAATTATTTTGTAGAACGTCCTTCAGTTTAGTTTGTGTGAAATTTTGTCAATGATTAGATTCAGGTTTTATATCTTTGACAGGGATGTCACAGAAGGGATGCTGACTCTCATGGTATTCTATCAGGTGGCATATGATTTCAGTTTGTTTCAATTCTGATGGTGGTTACTTTGATTATTTGAGTAAGGTGCTTCTCCATTCTAAAATTACTGCTTGTATTTTTGTAATTAATGAGTATTTTGTGGAGAGGTATGTCAATGTCTCATTCCTCATCAGAATTTTATTCATTTGTATGTTAAGTCAGTATAGACTCATGGAATTCTGCTTTATTCAATGGATTATAAATCATTATTCATTATAGTGCTAAAATGTTCCCAGATATGGCCAGTTTGAGCCCCTCAAACTGACTTGTATTCTTTTAACAGATTTCCATCATTCTTTGAGCAATTTTACTTTCTGACTCAGCAAGATACTCTAGACTAATCTTGTATAGTTTTCCTCCAGCGTACTTGGGGGATTAGTTCCAGGACTCCCTGCTCATACCAAAATCTGCACATACTCAAATTCTGTAGTTGGCCCTACAGAACCTGTGTGTTCAAAAAGTCAGCCCTTCTTATACATGGGTTTCACATCCCTCAAATACTATGTTTTCAATCCGAGTCAAATAAAATCTATGTATAAGTGGTGGACCCAGCCAGTTCACACCTGTGTTGTTCAAGGGTCAACTGTACTTTCCAGCCCTGGAATTGGTCATATCTCCAAGGAGCTCCAGTTCCTTTCATAGGAAAATGGTATTTGGAAACCAAGATCTGGATACTAGTGCCATTGCTACTAGGATATCATTTCTTCTAGCCCTCATAGTGGAGAGAGCTAGAAAATGCGCAAAGTTATATATGTACACACACACATCTACAATTCTAATTCAGCATCACAAAGTTCATTTTAACCTTTATCCTTTTCATTTTTGTGGCTCTTTTATCTGACACTGAGAAACCTCACTCCCTCCAATATTTGTTTGCTTACTTATTCCAGTTTCCCAACCCTTCTGTCATCTTTCTGAGCATTTGTGGTAGCAACAGGATGGGGGTGACCAGAAGTAGAGCAGTGTTCTATTTTTTTTTTTTTCCAGTTGAGTGGTGGTGGTATGTATTTCTTAAACTCCATATATATGTTCCTTAAATTCCAGATTTGTTGAGTATATATGTTACAAATTTTAAATATAAAAAATGAAATCATTAAAATAATTTATCACCTTAATGGTTACAAGAGAAAAATTACATAATCATCTCAATAGAGTGTACTCACTATAAATACCCAGTGTTAAAATTCCACAGTGAGTTTATACCTTCAGGACCCGGGTATCTGGCTGAGAGTACCAATAGGAGAGGAAGCATCTGGAATCCAAATGGTTTGTCATAAATGAGAAAGGCTCTAGATTCTGGGAGATCTGTTTGGAGGTGATAACTACTGCTCAGAAAAAAGTCATTTCAGTTCTTAATTACAACATTTTGTAAGCATATTTCTAGTACAGCTACCACTTTTGTTTATGAAAAAATTAAAATCTTACATTTTCATCAAAGCCTTCTCTTCTAGCTTGTTCAGCCAAATCCCTCCTTTTGCTCCTGAGAATATAAAATAAAAATCAGAGGCATATGACAGTAAAAAGGGAGATGCCACTGTAAAATATCAGATATATAGTAAGGATCTGAATTGTATTTCTGTTCTTTCTGATAATACATGCTAGTTATTTGGAAAATGTATTCATTAATATGTTCTCAAGAGTATCACATGTCATTAACTGTTTAAAAGAAAAGTTTTTATGTCCCACTGCCAGAGGCCTGAGTTTGGGAAGCATTCTGACATCAAAATCATTCAATAAATGTATTACATAAGTTTTGTCCGTAAGTATTGTGTGTAAAATCTTTTTATTTTGGTAGCTAAGGAAATACACTTAATATAGAGTAAAATTATTTCCATCCTTTCTTAGAGAGACTTTATTTTCTTCCCCAGTTTTCTCTTAAAGCTTTTTCTGAGTGGCTTGGCATGCATTATATTAATTTTAAATTAGCTTAGAGTTTCACTTGATCTTAGCCAAAACGCCGCGAAGCGATAAGCTTAGAGTTTCATGCTCAGAAATGAGGAGGCACTACTGGGTGTGCTGACAACATACTGAGAATCACCACAAAGGATGGGGCTTGTCTTGCAATCAAAACCTTATTTGTTGCAAGTTTCTTACATAATGTAGAATTTTAAAATGGTAAATTATAAATTTGAGAAAGGTCATCTTACGTTTTCTCGTCTTCATCTTTTTGAGCTTTCTTCAATTTGAGTTTCTCAAGAGCGTTTGTATAACTCTGGGCATAATTAAAAGTAGTGTGAGAATTCACCAAAAATATATCCTGTATTATTAATGTTTAATCAAAAGTAAAGAAATATGGAATGCTTGTCTGTAGGGACTGCTACCCTAAAGAAATGTGGGGGCAAAATGCTAAGATTGTCCTTTCACCTTGTCACTACTGATGGTTTCGGCCTGCTGTTGAAAAGGGGGTTCTTCTCTTGGGAAGCGTGACACTTGAACTTGAAAAAAACAAAAATCTTGTAAAAGTATTAAAATGTATTGCATTAAGGAAGTTAACACATTTAATGCATATAACTAGCACCATTCTCAAGATAAAAGATGGGGGTAAAAATCACAAGCTTATTGTGGACATCATAACAGTTTTCTTTTACAGATAAGTTCTTGGACATAGTTCTTAAACTGTATTAACCCCACAGCAACTGGGCCCTTTTCTCCACGAAGTGCTGTGCTTAGAGCCATGAAGTATGCAGAGATGGCTAAGCTGGCAGGGAGATGTGACCAGTACTCACAACTCTGCTACAACTCAGAGTGAGGTAGGTGTCAAGGGGACAGGGAGATTCCACTCTTTCAAGGAGAATAGAATATTAGCAAGATAGATAAGAGCTGTGGGAATATTTCAGGGGTCAGACAATGATCTGAGCAAAGCTGAGAGGAGACCAAGTGAGCAAGCATGGTATATAGCATAGTGCTCAAAACAGATTGGCTGGGACATAATGGTGCTGTAAATAGAGACAGAAAGGTATAAACACTATAGTAAAATGATAGTTAATAAAGATAGGTTGGGACTGCGAGACTTGAGGAGGACTTGGAATATTTGAGTAAGGAGTTTGGGCATATTTTGATAGGCCCAGGGAAACTGATATGCTCAGATCTGGACTGGCACGGGGAAGAGGCTAGAACAGTTAAGATGTTATCTACAGAAGGCTGGGTGAAAAGTACTGAAATCCCTAATCTAGTGGTGGCAGTTGGAATTCAAAATGTCCTTGAATTTCACAAGTGTAAGCAAGAACTACACGATAAACTACATATAAACCTTGACAAAAGACTGTATAAGGGACAAGGAAATAAAGTCTTTTCAAGGTTTCTGAACCAGGAGTGACTGAGATAATAGTGTGGTCATTAAAAGAAACAAGAAAAATGAGGAAGACCATGCACATGGAGTTCTGAGTTTATGTTACGGAAATTTGCCAGCATCTAAATTGCAAACTTTTTGGAGGGATGAAATAATTTTATTATAATACCCACCAGTGCTTTGCATTTCAGAAATAACAATTATTTTATATATAGAACTCTGAAATAAATTTGGCTACATTTTTAAAGCCAGAAAGCATATTTCTCTTCCCTAGTAGTAAAATAATGCAAATAACATTGCAGTAATACTGGATCAAGACACAAAAACAAAACCCAAGGTGTGAGGGTTTGGGGGCGGTAGTGGAGTGTTATTCAAACTACAAGAGTATAAACTGAATAATATGTGTCCTAGAATTCTAATTAGGAATGGAATTTGACTTACCTTTTTAATCATTTCACCAAGTTCAAAGTCTGGCCTTCTGCCTATTGAATAATCAGCTTTCACTTCAGAATAGGTATCATTAATTATTGCCAAGAACATGTTCTGGGGAGAAATATTCAAACAATTATTTCAGTAAAAATTTAGTAAGTAACACATATGCTGTCTAATGACAGTGATATGTTTAATTTTTGTCTTAACCAATACTTCTGATAAAATCAGGATGCCAACAATTTGTCACTTGCTAGTCTCAAAAATAGAGAAATGACTAAGCAGACTACAATAGAGTAGAATGGAAAGTGTGTAGTGTGTGGGTGTGGGCAAATATGTTTTATGGTAAATGAGAAAAGCAGAATGTAAAGTAATGCATATGAACTGGTTACTAATAATATATTTAATATATACACATATTAACCAATATTATGTATCAGAAGATTTAGAATGAGGTGATTATATGTTCATAAAGGTGTTTTTAATTCTATGAAGCTGCTTAAATTCACAGACTTATTAAGGTTTCTACAACTGCTAATGTCCAGATAACACAAATGTGGAGAGCATATTCTTACCCCAGCCCACCTCTGCACTTTTCATGGTGGCCCAGCTCTGTCACCCTAAGACTCTTGGCCATCAGTAGGAGATAGCTTCTGTGCTATCAGGGTTTTCATGGAGGATAATAACAATGCCTTGATTTAGGAAGCCCAAATAGACTTGTTCTGAATGCCTGTGAGAGACCCATCCTATTAATGGATGTGACTGCTAGGAATCTCAAAGGGTCGTGAGCTTTCGTCCTTAAGAGCCAAAACCCATTGCAATAGGGGCAGAATATTAATAGCCGAATTCATACCTCATGGTATGGCTTGTCCCAGCCTGGAGAGGTGTGGGACATTCAGGCTATTTGTGTAAGGGATTTAGCACATTCTTGTCTAAAGTAAACACCCAGATGTTAAGCATTGTGATCATACTCTCCATTGGACAACTTGAAAACATTAGACACTAGAGAATCTTGATTACTAAGAATCACACTATTCTTAATATATGTAAAGTGCTCCAACAGCTAAGTGGTACTACAATTTCTCCTAAATGAGTAATTTCATTTTTTATTCTGAACCATCCCTCCGCCCCCCCCTCCCCAAAAGAACACATGGTCATTCTTACCAGCAGGACAAAGAACACAAAAAAGATGAAAGTGATGAAGTAAATGGGTCCCAAGATCCAATTGGCTTGCTGAATACCAGCAAAATTAAAATCTCCAAGCACAATTCGAAATTGTGCGAATCTTTGATGGGAAGAAAGAAAGACATTAGAAAATATCTGTTCATGTACACACATGACAACTGATGGGGGTTACTAATGTCTCTAGGAAAGTAGCTGCATATGGCTTATGTTTTCTGGCTTTAAATTGTGTTAGTACAGAGTTCCCTAAAACTGGATGTAGAAAATTCCCCTAGGGCCGGGCGTGGTGGCTCACGCCTGTAATCCTAGCTCTCTGGGAGGCTGAGACGGGCGGAATTGTTTGAGCTCAGGAGTTCGAAACCAGCCTGAGCAAGAGCGAGACCCCGTCTCTACTAAAATTAGAAAGAAATTAACTGGACAACTAAAAATATATATTAAAAAAAAAAAATTAGCCGGGCATGGTGGCGCATACCTGTAGTCCCAGCTACTCAGGAGGCTGAGGCAGGAGGATCGCTTGAGCCCAGGAGTTTGAGGTTGCTGTGAGCTAGGCTGACGCCACGGCACTCACTCTAGCCGGGGCAACAGAGTGAGACTCTGTCTCAAAAAAAAAAAAAAAAAGAAAATTCCCCTAAAGGCAAGACTTGAGATATTTCAATAGCTGAACAGGTAAATGTAGGGAACAGCAGGCTTCAGTTTATTTAACCAATGTGAACTAAATGTTCACCTACAAGATCTGAACCTTGGGATATCTGTTTACCAATTGGTTTCGGCAGTGGCCTCCTTGGCCATTCCTGTGACCTCTAAAACTTCAAATGCTTTGACTTGGTCCAACAAGTGGTTTTTCAACTTGTACCTAGACTCAAGAGCCCTAAACTTGCTAATGACAATGATGTGTTTAATTTTTGTCTTAACCAATACTTCTGGATGCCAAAAATGTGTCACTTGCTAGTCTGAAACAAGTGTGATAATGATCCTCCACATTATCCTAAGGTTAAATTTATCCTCTTCAATAACTACAAATGCTTGGTTTGATGTGAACTGCCATTTTAAGTAGTGCATACCTTCATTTTTCTAATTTTAAAGATGGAAAATGAAGAAATTAAGACTTTGAGTAGCATACTGGTAGCAGAAATGGAATTAGGATTTCCTAACCTGGAATCTTATTTTCTCATCATTTGCAGTGGCATCACAGGACACATCAGGGATATCAGTTATAAATTATGTGTGTGTGTTATTTATTTTATGGGCAAACTTGGGGAGAAATTTTTAATAGTATGTTGATACTCTGCATGATTAGTCAGTTAGAAGGGAGAACACTTCTTGTCCCTTATTGTTTTTGTGAGTCACATAAAGGGAACAGAAGACTATCTTTAACAAAGGAAGGAAAAGCATTCAAAGAAATAGTCCTATGAGTTGTCTGGCATTCCATCCCCAGCACTTAATTGAGACCTGATCGAATCACACTTTAACTGTATCCTACTTTTAATACTAGTTCATAATGCTCTTCCACATAGGAGAGAAAATGCTGAATTGGAAGGAAACCAAAAATCTCACCACAAATGAAATACATTTTCCTTTCTGGAATAGGAGAACAAGAGGTTCTGCTTTAGTGTTTCTGACGTGATCTTTTATCAAGTTGTAAAGGAAAAGATAAGTTATAGGCACCATTTCTCATTCTTTTCTCCTTTCCAGAAATTAGTAAATAAAGCTTCTATTTAACCCTTTTCTACCAGGAAAGTGTTTAGATACCTCTGCTCTGTAAATGTGAATAACAAAAACCTAAGCAATTTACTGAATGGTTAAAGTGGAAACTGGAGACTCCAAATACACTATCTCTTTTCTCCTCTTAATTGGAGCTTAGTTTATCCTTTTTTTCTGTTCTTTTTTGCAAGCTGAAAGGAACATGACATCTCAGCATGCAGGGTTATATTGAATGAAATGCTGTTTTGTAACTTATTTTTGTTTTTTTAATTTTTTTTTTTTTTTTAGAGACAGCGCCTCACTCTGTTGCCCAGGCTGCAGTGCAGTGGTGTGATCATTGCTCACTGTAGCCTCAAACTCCTGGGCTCAAGTGATCTTCCTGCTTCCGTCTCCCAAAGTGCTGGGATTACAGGCATGAGCTAGCACACCCAGCCTGTTTTGTAACTTCTTGATACTTCTGCCTTCTAGAGTTCTTTCTTACTGAATTAAAATAACTTACAGATTGTTCCATAATAACGTGCCATTTATCATGAACATGATTTTCCACTCTCAGAGGCAATGATTGGGTGATAACTATTCCTAAGCATTCTCCAAATATTTCCTCTCTCTCTGTCTTCTTCTGTAACTCAGGTTAAACATACATTAAGCCTTCTCATTCGATCCTTTGTCTCATACCCTCTCCCAACATTTTGTCTCTCTATGCCACATTTTCGATAATTTCTTTTCACCCGTTTTCCACTTTGCTCACTTCACTTGGGTCTTATTTTCTGTAAAACCTATCAGCTGGGCTTTTAATTTAGATCAGCTTCTTTGTTTTACAGATAAGGTCTAGAAATTACAAATTAAGGTCTAGAAAAGTTAAGTAGCTAGTGGCAGAATGGGAAATTGGAATTATATATTCTTGGTTCCTAGTTTACTCTTCTTTCCACTACTGATTTAGTAGAGGGTTATTTCAGAAAAATGTTATAATATTTTATACATTATATTTCAATTATTTACATGTGGATGGAAAGAAGAGGGCAACTTAAGACATTTCTTTAGACACTTTCCCAAAAATCTCGCAAAAGGGTCACAGGTAAGTTTGTGGAACTCTTAATTAAAGGTTAACAAAATTATTGCTAGATTTCTCAGAGCCATATGTTAATATGCACTGCAAATTTCCAAAACTGTTACAAAATCTCCCAAACTTAAATACAAAGCCATTTTCCCATGGACAATCTTGGCCTAGAATTCCACAGAATATATTTAGAGAATTGTTATTTTAGAATATCATAATTTTCTCATACGGATAGAAGTTGCTTTTCCTTTTCAAAAAGAGGAAATTTATGAAAATATTTTACTTTCAAGGAAAGAGCCTGAATACTTTTTTAGGGATTCTACCTACCCACTTCTGTAAGTGAGTTGCCTATTACTGATTGTTTTATGCCTATAAAGCTATTTCCAAATAGCTTTGGCAGATAGATCAGCAGAGGACTATCAAGTCAATATCAATAAGATTCTTAAGACAGTGCCCTCTAAACAAGACACTTAAGATTTCTTTTGCCCAGAGAATAAACAGTACTGAGACATGGAGGCCAGTTTCTGTTATCTTAGGTAAAATTATTACATTTATACTAAGAGCTTACATGGAATTTTGAAAAGTGGAAAAGTCGTCAACCTGTGATCCAAAAACAAGAAATCCTAACTGGGCATAAGCAAAGAATATTATAAAAAACATGATGGCAAATCCTACTATGTCTTTGATACAGCGGGACAAAGTTGATGACAGCTGAGACATTGTTTTATTAAAGCTTATGAATTTGAATATCTGAAAAAGAATAAAGTTAATTGAAATAGAATATCAAAGATTACTTAGAATAAGTTAAATTAATTTCAAAAGAATTCTGCTTCAAATTAAAGGAGGTACTTAATGATAAGAGTGTTTGAGGATTTGCCAGCAATCATTTACAAGGCCAAACTACTTTTAAAATTACTTAATAGTTAAGAAAAATTTTTTACACAACTTTGTAGTTTAAGTTCATTATAACATTATGCTATTATCCTGTTGTATTATGTAATATAATAAAATGTAAATACCTTTATCCATGCAAAGAAGATAGTAATAGCAATTATATTGTTGTAATAAATATGCCAGTATGCAAGAAAATAGAAATCTGAATATTTTTCAGTACTTTTCAACAGATGTCCAAGTAAGAGAAAAATTTGCATATTACAGTATGTGTTGAAGGAAACAGACACAAAACACAACTAAATGGGAAAATAAGAAGGGTTAAATTAGAGACTATCTCTACATCTAAATGTCTTGCAGCCTATGAAGAGACACATGAAAAAGTTCATCAAAAGTTTAACAAAAAGGGAGGGAAAGATAGGACATACTCTTCTACATAAATGGAAATAACCCTCAATTTAGAGAAGTTTAAGGTAGCATAATTATCATAAAAATAGAAAAATATTGGTTGCTTAGCCATCCTAATCTATCTACCTGTTTGTTTCATTGAGTCATAAAGCACAAATGTATAAAATGACTATGTAATTCTGACTAGGGTATAAGGGTTTCTGTTCTACATCATACCTAAAAGTTTAAAATTTTCTACCGTGTTATATTACATGAAAAAAAATTTACAGTTACATAAAACAAACCCTTTTAAACCTTTTAACAACTCTCTCACTCTTTTTTTTAAATAGACAGTGTCTCATTCTGTAGCCTAGGCTGGAGTGCAGTGGCATGATCATAGCTCACTGTAACCTTGAACTTCAAGCAATCCTCCTGCTTTGGCTTCCCAAAGTGGGATTACAGGCATAAGCCACCATACCTGGCCTAAAAACCCTTTTTAAAGAGGATTTCAGAACAGGTTATCTTAGCTCTCCGAGCTTTATAACCATCATGAAATTTTTCCTTTGACTTTCCTTGCCTGAAATAATAAATGTTTAAATAGTTTAACATTTAATGCCATGCCCTTTGTTAGACATTATTGGGGCTACCAGAGAGTTAGGTGGCATACTTCCTGATTTTGAGAAACTTTGAATCTGATTTTGAATGGCTATAACTAAGGGCCATTGAGGGTGAAAGATCAGATTATGTGAACCAAAAAGTTGTTCATTGACTATTCCTAAGACCAAGCTCGTAATATTTGTCTCACCTGCCTAAATCCCTGTTTGTTTTAGTACATTCCAATGACTAGAACTGTCTTTGGTTTTGGTGTTTCAGGGATTATTTCCCCGATCCTGGTGCCCTCTGTGCCTGCGGGTTACCCTCTGGTTGCTCAACTCGTTCCCCTCCACCTGCCCTCAGTATTCTGTCTCTTCTTGTCTTTTGCCTGTTCTTTCAAAATTTAGTGTGAAGAGGAAAGCAGATTTAGGCAACATAGAAGAGTATGTTTTAAATGACCTTACCCAAAAAGACTCAAAATTGATGAAACACAAGACCCTGTAAGGACCATGTTTTTTAAGTAGGAATAGGGAGACCTACTATGTACATTAAGTGATTTATGGAATCACTTATTCCTCTAGGTCTATGCCAACCCTCCAAAGGACCAAATCATAAAAAAATAGATTTCTCCCTTCTGGAGGCACTGTATTAGTATGTACTATGACAGTTCATTTTATGTTTGATACTTGTAGCTTTTAAAATAAGTTCTGGATAAATAGAAAATTCAGTTTTTTATGCTTCCTTCATTGGTGGGTTCCGATATGATACCCTTCAACCATACACATGAATATATACTCACCAGCAAAAGTAGTAATTCTAGCCAGTTCCAAATACTTTTGAAATAGGCAGACTTAAATTCTTTTATTTTTTTGACTTCTTGTGTTGTGAAGACAAAAAGAAAAATACAAAATGTGATTTCACAGGAAGCAATAAAATAATCATAGTAGCTAACATATCTGAGGAGCTTCACAGAGTAAAACTGCCATGAAGTAAGTATTCCTCCAGTTGCAGGGAATTCTGCCACCAATCTGTAAAATAAGGTTTGTGAAAACAGCTATTCATTTCAATCATTTATATTTTGGTACTTAATGTGAAATTTCTAATCAATGATGACATATACTTTAATGATAACCAGTTATTTTGTACAAAATACGTTTCCTTGGGGTCATGGACTCAATTTAATCATTTTCTAGTGGATTTACTTATTTTTTAATGGCTCCAATTTTTCTGAATCCTGAATGTTCACAGTGGCCAAAGACCAATGTAAATGAGAAAGACAGACATGAATTTAGCCATTCATTCATTCCTATTCGGTGTTCAGTTTGCTCGTTCATAAACTGGGAATATAATTTATCTCCACAGGAGAATGAGATGTTTAAGAAAAGGCTATATTGTTGTTAATTATGACTCTCCCCAAATACATCATTTTCAATATTTCAGAGGAGGAAAATACATTCTCTTTAGATTATCAGAAATACTTCTTGTTTCTAAATGTCAAGGTCACATATCTAAAGCAAAGGTTTTTCTGTTTACTTTAGGCATTGGAAATTGGATACAAAGATCCATATGCAAACAGAAATATAAAAATTAATTCCATCACTAAATATAAGACGATTTTGAGGTGGTTCACTGTATTTCTGTTGTTCTCCACAACCTCAGATAATTAAGAATTAGAAGTAATTTAAGGAAGCAACATTTCTGTCACGATCTTACAGTGTAATTATTCCTACCTAAAGATTTTATTGGTAGTGTTATAAGGTGCTGCCAAAATAAACAATAAAAACAAAACCCCAGGTAACAAACAAAACTGTTAACATCTTGTACATAGTAAGTGCTCAATGTTGGATAAGGGAGTGATGAGGACTGAACTCTGACCACTGTCCTTTGCTCCAAATTCCTTTCCTAGGGGACCTGGAGAGAGTCACATCTGCAGACTGTCAATTTTGCTTCGCAGGTTACTTTGACCCAGCATACTGTGCCTTGCTTTCATAACCTGACTCTGGCATAGCACAAGATGATAAGTAGCAGACTTCCTTATCTTAACTAATATATCTGAAAACTAAATCATTCCTTTGCTGATTCCAAGCTTTTTAAACACAACTTTACTCCTTTAATCAATTGCAAATTAAAGAATCTCTGAATCAGCCGGGCACGGTGGCTCACGCCTGTAATCCTAGCTCTCTGGGAGGCCGAGGCGGGTGGATTGTTTGAGCTCAGGAGTTTGAGACCAGCCTGAGCAAGAGC